ATGCTGTAGAGATGACAGGAAGAACATAATGTCGGACAGTTCCAGACGATACATAAGAGGAAGCAGGTTTAGAGTAGAGAGCCGGGTACGATAATCAGACGTGTAATCATGCAGTATGTATTTTGTGGCCCGTCTCTGAAACCGCTCAAGAGCAACAAAATCACTGACAAGAGAAGGTCTCCAAACTGGTGAGCAGTAAGTAATGATGGGTATGATAAGGGACAGATAGAGTTTATGCTTGACATCAGTTGGAGTATGACTAGAGGAAAAAGCACGTCTCAAAAAGGCTAGAGTACTATAAGCTCGCTGAAGGACATTCCTGGTTTGCAAAGACCATGAGGGATCTTCTGTAAAAAGTACTCTCAGATCTTTACATGATTCCTGATACTCAATGGTAGATCCCAGGAAGGAGTAGTTAAAGCAGAGGGGAGTTGATCTTGGTCCATGATACCTCATCAGGATGGTTTTACTAGAATTGAACTTTAATTTAGACTATAAGAATTAAAACAGGGTAACAAAGTGCTGAAGGACTAGAGAAAGGGAAATAGGAGGAATGGGTGGAGTAGGGAAAAAAAAGAATGTGGAAACAGGCTACGAAAAATAAGAAACGGGTTTAGAAATATAACATTTGGCACAGGGACAACAAACATGATAGGTACAAAGATTAGAAGGGTCAAAATGGTTTTTTAAATGTTCATAAAAATAAGATTTATTAATCATTACATTTGCAATGTAACAGTTTTGAAAAAACTAAAAATTAATAAAAAGGTCAAAATATAAAAATAATTATGCTAATTGCAATGTAATAGGCCATTAAAAATTATATACAAAAGAATATTTAAATCTGAATGGCTATAGCTTCCATAGGAACATCAGCTCTCTTCAATCCATCATATCAGTAGGACACTTTACGAATCTTAATTCTAAGTTCCTATGCAACCATACTGGCGGCTCATGTCCAATGCTAGAATGAAGAATTTTCCCGTATGAACTAACATCAATGGTCTCACTTCTGCTAACTGCTCCTTTAAACGCATCCAGTTTCTTCTTATCTAGTAGCAGGCAGTGCCACACGCTCTCGTGATCTTCATTTTCTCCAGTAACAATATAAACGAGTTCTGAACTACCAGATATACACTGTGTCCAGGTGAATTTAGATGAACAACTGCCATCTATTTCACAAGTTTCATGACTTTCTTTACAACAACGAATGACTCTGAAATCGATCCCAAAACACCTTTGCCCTGATTCTAAACCTTCCCATCATGGCAATGCATAAGTCCCTTCTCGTCTTCGTCAAAATCCACCCCCTCACTTATGAATGAGAGGGCCATCACTTCTTCATCATGCTGACAAGTCACAATTATTTTTATTAGAAATTTATTCTTCCTAGCATGATGCCCACAAGCTGGTATATTAAACTCATCTAGTTTCTTAGCCCAGTCATTAATCCATTGGCCTGAGTAGCTACAGTCAGAGACTATCGTCAGTGAAGAGCCCATGTAGTGGTTGCGGTAGAGATTGAAGATATCATCAAATGAAATGATGCCATCTTTGAAGCACAAGTTACCAGTACCTTTCTCTCCATGACCAGTGTACCAGATGACAGCTGTGTATAAAAATGATTAATAAGACAATTATAGTGAAGCATTTTAGCAATAATAACAACAGATATGTAATTGCCTGAAACATTTTAAAGCAATAATTTTAGTGCAGTGAATTATGACCAAAAGTATGTACATTGTATAAACTAATGACCATGTTAACAAAACATTTGATAGGAAAGGTACATGTACATGTATATTAGTGTTACAAAAACGTATATCGATTTGGAAATAATAATTTTTCAAAATTAGATCTACCTACTATTAAACTTGTACCAGGCAATCTTTACACATGTACTATTAATTCTACCCCATGGACAAGCAGACTTTTTACCATGCCAAAAGTCTGAGTTTATTCCAATTATACATGTCACAAATTATAGAGATACGTGTACTGTACATGCATGTACAAGCGTTTGAAAACATTCAAAATCACATTTACCTCCTTCGTGTTTCTTGGTGTTAAATATTGATTTAATTTTATCAATGTAATCCTGTCTTGATTTTTCTTCTCCAGGAGAGTAACAAGACAAAAAAAGACCTCAAACCTTTCGTTGTACTTTTCGTAAACATCTTCGATTCTTTTAATTTCGTCACTCATCCACTCCTCCCCTTTAAAGTGGTCAGGAACAATCTTAGGTGCTATAGTATACCTAAATGTACATATAACAAATGATAATGTGGCTTGTTTTGATACCGTATAGCGGGAAATTTTGGAAGGGGTTAAATTTGGCGAATTCGGACTTTTGATAGCCATTTGCCAAAATAAAATCCGTCATTTTGAAGCATTATACATATGCTCGATGGCACATGGCCACAAATTCGCCAATCACCAAAAAAATTGCTAAACTGACCGTTTAGAAAAATGACCAAATGATCCAATGATGAGTACATCTCTGTCTTGGGGTTGAAACAACCTCCAAGTGTTAACTCTTTTCCTTGTTCTTGGTTTACAGGCTGTCTCTGACTCGTCAAATTCAAGTTCTTCCACTTTAGTAGTGTCTTTTTTAAGTGGCTGAACAAGAAGGACTGGTTTTACAACTATTGTAGAGTTGATTTTACAGTCACCAGAATCTATAAAAATTAAAACATGTAAAAAACAATATATGTACATGTACATCCAATAGACTTAAATTAATGAAATACTGTTAATTTAATAGTCATTATGTATCAATAGCTAGCAGCTGTGGTCATTTCAGTCATTCATGGCAAAAGTTAGTTCCATATTATTTTAGGGTTCAATACAAGAGTAGTATTCAATACTTTGGAACTGAAATACTTATAAACTCTTTCGTGGCCCAAAATTTTTGTGAATTTCGTGATTTATTCAAAATTCATAAAAATAAAATTCACAAAACTGATTTAATATTGATCAACATTCAACAAACAGATTTTTGGATGAATTTGTCAAATTTTTGGGCCATGAAAATTTCTTACTATACAGTACAGCCACTAACTATTGACAAATCACCTGTGCAGTACTATTCACTAAGAGTAGAATAAGCCATATATGGAAGGCCATTGTCAAAACCTTGTGATTTTACACTAGACACAGTTGCACACTACAATCTTTTAGAAGTTTAAGCTGATTTTTCAAGTTATGGTAATATGGTCAATTTAACTTAATTTCTGAAAAATACCTTGTACTATAGCCCATGGTTTTTTCCAAAAAATGGGTACAAAATCACCCCCAACTTTTATTACATTTTCTAATACATATTGATGCCCTCAAGCTACATGTACATGTATGTAGAAAGTTTGAGCTGATTCCAACTTAAAACTTTTTTGAGTTATGTTATTATTTAAAATGAGCCAATTTCTAAAAAAAATCCCTGTACTTATATATAGCACATGGTTTTGTCAGAAAAATGGCTCTAAAATCCCCCCCCAAAATTTTTATTACATTTTTTGATACATATTGATGCACTTATGCTATGTAAAATATTTGAACCAAATCCGACTTCATTTTTTAAAGTTATGCCCAATTTTTAAAATAGGCCAAATTTTGAAAAATACCCAAGGCTATAGCCCATGGTTTTTTTTCGAAAAATGGCTCCGACATCACTCCCAATTTTTATGAAATTCTCTAAGCCATATTGATGCACTTAGGCTATGTAAAAAGTTTGAGCTGATTCCGACTTCAATTTTTAAAGTTATGGCCATTTATAAAAATAGGCCAAATTTTGAAAAATACCCAAGGCTATAGCCCATGGTTTTTTCAAAAAATGGCTCCAAAATCACCCCCAATTTTTATTACATTTTCTGATACATATTGATGTACTTATGCTATGTAAAAAGTTTGAGCCAATTCCGACTTCAATTTTTAAAGTTATGGCCATTTTTAAATATAGGCCAAATTTTGAAAAATACCCAAGGCTATAATAGCCCATGATTTTTTCCAAAAAATGGCTACAAAATCACCCCTAATTATTATTGCATTTTTTGATACATTATTGATGTCCTCAAGCTATGTTGAAAGTTTGAGCTCATTATGACTTAAATTATTTGAGTTACATGTATGAATATTTTTTAAAATGAGCCAATTTCTAAAAAAGTCCCTATACTATAGCCCATGGTTTTTCCCAAAAATGGCTCCGAAATCACCCCCAATTTTTATTACATTTTCTAGTCCATATTAATGTACTTATGCTATGTAGAAAGTCTGAGCTGATTCCAACTTCAATTTTTCAAGTTATGACCATTTTTCAAAAAATTGAACATTTTGAAAAATAGTCATGGTTTTTTAACAAAATTACTCTCAATTTATTACATTGTCTGATGCTACATTACAAGGTAATTATGTTTTGATCTTTCCTGTAACTTCTATACTACCATTACTCACCTAATTTTGATGACTTTGTAACTGATACATCAGGAATAGGCTCTTCATGTAACTGTGATTCAATGCAAGCTGGATAAATACACATAGGTCCTACTGATGCAATCATAAAAACAAAATTGCAAAATTAGTCTCCACCTTCTGTTGACTGAACTGGGTCTACTGGTGATTCTTTTGGGCTTGTTCTTATTGCCACTTTTACATAAATTCATTTTGAATTTTAATTTTTTTATTTCTTACCATTTATAACTTGATTCTTACTATCTTCATTCAACAATTGTTCATTCTTAGTAAGATCTACAAGTAAAAAATCATCATAACTCTTGCCACTACATAATTACGTACATACCATTTCTCTCTTTATTATCAACTTCTTGTTCGTCATCTTTAATCCCTGAATTCTCCTAGTGTAAAAGTAAGCTATAATA